TGGCAATCTATTTTCTGCTTGGTGCATTTTCTCCCGATTTGGCATTTTATACAATTGAAAAGTTTTGGTTAAGAAAAACCTTTTTAAAATACGAATTAATTATATCGGAATGAATAAGTTATTTTTCTCATAATTATTTCTGATATCACATAGTGACTCATTAAAAACAAGAGTATCTCCTCCAAACACCCATCTTTGATCCAAAATAATGTAATAGAGTAGGTTTAAAATTATAAAATTTTCATTTCAACAATCAACCTACCAAAACCGAAAACTTCAGCAAAAATGCTGAATGCTTCATTTAAATCTATTTTGGTATATTTAAAGGAAATTTATGGTACAAACGAAAAATGTCATACGGCAACCAGTCAGCCCGCACTATAGTAAACAAACTGGGGATTAATAGCAAATTAACGAAAAATAAATTCAACAAACGTTGTGCTTATTAAATTTACGCACTTTTTAGTTATATACTAGCATTAATAATAAAATTTGCAATAAATAACTCAAAAAGGCAATATTTTCTTTTGTTTATTTACAAACATGTGTTTGTGATCAGCTGATTTTCTTACTTGCAAGTTTTCGCTGGGAAAAATTTTTCCAGCAGAAATTTGCAGCTCTCTTTCACATTTTGCTCTCTCAATTTCCCCTACTTTGCAAGTTTTTGGGGTACGAGAACGCAAAACCAGTAAAAGTTTTCTAAAACTTTAGATAGTTAGGCGTACGAGTACACACCTAATGTCTTTCGAGACCCAGGGATTATAACCCTTACTGAGTAGAATTCTCTTTTCTGTGTTGCGTAGAAGACCTGGAGTATTTTTGCGCAGGGGGAGGGGGAGTATTTGCAAAAAAGTGCATAGTGCAAACCGAGTTTATTAATAAGCTAGTGGTTGGAAATTTGAAACATTTTTCTTAAATAAAATGTAAATCCTTTGATTACACGTCTATGTTAAAGTTTTGGGATTCGGGTTATGCGTTTGGACACAACAACCGAAAATCGTTTTACATTAACTAAACCGGACCCAAGTTTCTCGATAAGGGGCAACAAATATTCTTTTTGCTCGTTTATATAAAGCAGTGGATAAAAATATACGTATATGCGAAAGGCAAATTTATCTGTTTAAATGAACACCACCTATAATTCTTGCAAACACACATCGATTTACATCTTTTATTTCGCCTCCGACACAGAATTGTTTTCGTACAAAATTACGCAAAAAAGCTTACTCGTTCGTTTTTAGGCATGCCATTGTTACGAATTTCGAAAGTTCGAAAATACGATTCGGATTGCAGCATACTATTTCTACGATTCGTAGCAAAATCCGAATACGAAAGAGTGTGTATTTTTTTTGTTGTTGTTTGACTTCAACATGCCTTTGTGTGTACAGCTGTATAGCTGCGTTTTTTTTCGTTAAGTCTTTAAAGTTTTTCGGAAGATCTGAAAACCAAAGAGATCGAATCCTTGGCCGCCAAGAACCGCTAAGCTCCCGTTTGCAAAAATCCTTTTCTTTTCTCTTTTTTTTGCCTAATCATCGCGTGATCTTTTCTGGAAAATAAAAGGCAATAGGATAAATGTCAGTGTGAACATTCATATTGTTTGCAGCAAATAGGAGTGTTCGCTATGCAACTGCCAGTAAGAATTAGCCAGTAACAAAATTCAGAGAATAAGGTATCTTACTCTCCCAAATAGAGAAACTTACTGAGTTTTGCGCGAACAGGAATTAGCAAACATTTGCAAGCTTCATTGCCAGCTGGCATCCACGATTGCATTTCGAGCTTAATAAATTTTTTAAATTATTTCAGGTGGAAACCAAAACAGGACCTATACGTATACTTCTTCCTATTTTGACTTTCTTCAACATACGCTTCAATTTCTTTGTGGAAGTCACTGTCGGATTTCCTATATCGACAGTGGTGCCGAGTGCGTTCCGATTACGAATACAGCTTTTTCAGCCGAGTACCTTTCAAATGCTTGGAATTAATTATATTAATTGAATAAACGAATATTTACATACTTATTTCATTAGTAAATCGCAACAAGATTGTTCATTTTTAAATTTAACGAACTCGTTGATTCAAATTAATGTTGACAAAATGCAACCGTGTGCCAAAATCCTGCTTGCAAATGCTTACTGGCAAAAATTGGGAAAATTTTAGAATGGTAACCCCCGAGTACGGAATTAAGGAAAATACGGGGGGTGGATGGGGTTCCAAAGGGGGTATGTGTAAAGTTTTAAAGCGCGGAACCTTATAGTTTTTAAGTAATTTGTTATTAAAGTTTGTAATTTTCACCAACTTGTATGGGACTTTTCCACTAAATTTACACGTTATTTACACTCAATATATGCGCAGTAAGAGTGTGCATGTTCAAACAAATAAATACTTTAAGTATATAACAGCTTTTTTTATCAAAAATTGATTGTTGTTTAATTTTATGAGAGTACATGCAGAATATGTGCAAATGGCAGCAGGACTGTGTTGCCATATCTAAAAAATGCAAGAGTGGAAAGCAAGACCAAAAGAAAATACAATTAAAAGGAAAATACGATAAGGTTATTTTGTTCAGATTAAAATAAATAGTAGGGGGATCAGGGGCTGAACACCTTTCTGCGTAGGCGGCCTTCGGCCGCGCTTAGGGATTATAACCTCACAACGTAGAATTCTCCTTTCTGTGTTGCCGGAAGAGGGTAATATGACCCCAAGCCCCTACTATTTATTTTTATCTGAACAAAAAAACCTTATCGTATTTTCATTTTAATCGTATTTTCTGTGGTCTTGCTTTCCGCTCTTGGTTTTTTTTAGATATGGCAACACAATCCTGCTGCCATTTGCACATATTCTGCATGTACTCTCATAAAATTACACAACAATCAATTTTTGACAAAAAAGCTGTAATATACTAAAAGTATTTATTTGGGGAAATGTTTAGTAGCGCTCACATCGTTTTTAGGGTGGAAGGCGGAGGGAGAGGGGGCGGGGCCCCCCAAACCGCCCCCACTGGAAAGGGGACAGTCCCCGCTTTCTAACAAGGCGTATCCCCCCCTTGGGCTCCTCCCACAGGCCCCTAGGGAACCGTTTGAAAAAGGGGGAAAAACGGAATTTTCTTAGGCAAACTCAGCAGTTTGAAGTGGAATATGACCCAACTAACAAAAACCGTGGGATTTTTTAATAAAAGAAATTATGCCAAATTAGATATCGGGCGATTTTGAATAAAGAATAAAAAAGTTAATTAAAAATAGAAAAAACAAGTTTATATAAAAAAAATGTTCTCTTTAACAAATGTATTTTTGCGTAGAATTTCTTTCTGCGTAGGCGGCCTTCGGCCGCACTTGGGGATTATAACCCTCAGGCAGTAGAATTCTCCTTTCTGTGTTGCCAAAGAAAGGGGGCTGAACACCTTTTGTAGAGAACACCTTTCTGCGTAGGCGGCCTTTGGCCGCACTTAGGGATTATAACCCTCAGGCAGTAGAATTCTCCTTTCTGTGTTGCCAAAGAAGCGAGGCTGAACACCTTTTACAGAGAACACCTTTCTGTGTAGGCGGCCTTCGGCCGCACTTAGGGGTTATAACCCTCAGGCAGTAGAATTCTCCTTTCTGTGTTACCAAAGAAGGGAGGCTGAACACCTTTCACAGAGAACACCTTTCTGCGTAGGCGGCCTTCGGCCGCACTTAGGCATTATAACCCTCAGGCAATAGAATCCTCCTTTCTGTTTTGCGAAGAAAAGGAGCTGAACACCTTTTGCAGAGAACACCTTTTTATATTTTTCATGCTTCTGGGTTATATTTTATCTTCTTTTGTCTCTCATTCTTTTGCATATTTTGGAGTTTGACAACTGAACTCCGCCATTTAATTTGCATATGCAACCAAAGTCAGACGCGTGATTTTGAAGGTGTTTTTATTTAATGAATTGTTATTAATTGGTTAATATTAAAGTCGTAAAGCAAGTTATAACTGATCGAGTAAAGTGTAAAGTGAAGGGGAATACAAAAATGTATTGGTGAAGTGGCTTCTTTAAGGAGAATTAAGAGTGATAAATGTATGCTAATTTCCGAATTTTTTAAAAAAGGGCATATTTCAAACCCAATTTGTAAAGAAATTAGTGACCAAAATTTACAAAAGTGAGTGTTAAAATAATGCGTGGATCCTTGACTACAAGGGTGTGGAATTTTTTTTTGGATCGGGCGACCCCTTTGGACGGAATAGCCCGAAATAGTTGTGAGCGCTACTAAACCTCACCCTTTATTTGTTTGAACGTGCACACTCTAACTGCGCATACATTGAATGTAAATAACCTGTAAATTTAGTGGAAAGTGCATTATATATTGTAAAATAGTGCCATACAAGTTGGTTAAAATTACAAACTTTAATAACAAATTAAAGAGTATAAGGTGCGCGCTTTGAAACTTCATACAGGGAACTGTTAGACCCCCCTCTACCTCCCATATTTTCCTTAATGCTGTACTCCGGGGTTACCAATCTAAAGCCCACCCCAAAAATTTTCCCAGCACGAATTTGCAGCTTCCCCTCCAAATGAAATGTCAAAATTGTGCTCTCTCCTTGCAAGTTGTACTGGGTTTTTGGCTAATCGAGCACGATTTGGTAACAATTGGTAAAAACTTATACAAATTTTTTGCATAGCGAACACTCCTAATATCTAGTTGTTATTACATGAACCAAAAATACAAGATCACGTGTTGGCAACCCACAAGTGTAGACTTTAATTTTGATATGTCATTGTAGAACTAGGATCCGTTATTGTATCCCGTTTGCATATAATTTTATTTCTTTTTCTTTTCCGTCTGCCGATACCTAAGCACGTTGTAACGTAATACGCGGTAAGCCATATAATATCCAAGTTTGTATTTAAGATCTTATAATTTGTATTGTATTATTCTCGTATGTATATTTTGTAAATAAAGATTAAGCTACGGCTACCCCCGCAACCATAACATTGGCGACGAAGAAAAACAACTATTTTCGAGCTCAGAGCAATATCAAAAATGGCGACATTAGAGCAGGTGGTTGCGACTCTTCTATCAAGACAGCAAGAAACCGCGGAGCAACAAAAACTGCTCTTGGAACGTTTAATTGCTGTGACAGCAAATTATACCAATGGACAAAATGAGCGGGGCTCACCAACAAACAGTACATTGGGCGGATCAGAAGCTCTAATGGAGACTCTTGCGAAGAGCATACGTGAATTCGCTTATGACCCTGAGCAAGGTCAAACTTTTGCCAAATGGTACGTGCGGTATGAGGATAATTTTAATGTGGAAGCTGCGTCACTGGATGATGCCGCAAAAGTGCGCTTGCTCCTAAGGAAGGTAAGCACGAATGTGTTCGACAAATATCGGGACTATATTTTGCCTGCCCAGCCGCGTGATATCAAGTTCGAGGACACTATTGCAACGCTAAAAAAACTTTTTGGGAAAAAGGAGTCACAGTTCAGTATTAGGGTAAAATGCATACAGAATGTGCGTATGAATGACGAAGAAGTTATAACATATGCAGCGCGAGTCAATAGGTTATGTGAAAATTTTAATCTTCGGGATTGTACGGGTAATAATTTTAAATGTCTAATGTTCGTTCACGGCATGCAATCGGCATCTGACGAAGATCTGCGCGCGAGACTTCTATCTATGCTGGACTCGGAAACTAGTGAAAGACCTTTAACAATCGATAATTTAGTAGCAGAAATACCGCGTATTAAGAACTTAAAAAATGATGCACTCGTATGTGCTAACCCAACGAAAGTTCAAGCGGTTTCAGAACACAAGCAAGCGAAAGTCGATACTAAGGCATTGCCAAGCAGACCTTGCTGGCAATGTGGTCGTATGCATTTTGTTCGTGAGTGTAGCTTTACCAGCCATAAATGCACGCAATGTGGTAAAGTGGGTCACAAAGAAGGTTATTGTTCATGCTTTTCGGAACGGAAACCGGCGATGGCGAAACGTAACGAGACAAAGAAAAAGAGTAGGAAGCGGAAATTTATTAGAAGCGTATTTACAGCGTGTGAAAATGGTTCTCACAACCGTCGTTTTGTGACCATAGAGATTAATGGCGTGGGTCTCCAACTCCAACACGATACTGGTTCGGACGTAACCATTATTTCCACGCAGAATTGGAAAAGAATCGGCAGTCCTTCATTGCGCTCATGTCAGAAATCATTTCGTGATGCTTCGGCAAATCAAATTTCGATTGCTGGCGAATTTGAGGCAGACATTAGGTTTGTTCGTCGAAAATCCAGCAAGAATTATCCAACACTCAAAATATCAGAGAGTAAGAAAAAATTCTCTCAAATTCTCTCTCATGTTGAGAAACTTGCAAATTTCTGCACGAACGCAAATTTGCAGGAATTTGCAAGTTTCCCTGCCAGCTGGCGTCCACGGTTGCATTTCAAATATAAAAAATTTGTATAGAATTTTTAAAATTCTTTCGGATGGCCAAAAACAGGATATACATGTATATTTCTTGTTGTTCTGACTTTCTTTAACATACATTTCAATTTCTTCATCGTACTAGCTGTCGGGTTTCTTAAATCGACTCTGGTTGCAATTGCATTCCGACTGCGAATACCATTTTTTTCAGCCGAATTAAGTTCAAATCATTGGAATGAACTAAATTAATTATATCAACAATTATTTACTTCCTTTTTTCATTAAAAAATCGCTCGTATTTATAAATTTTTAAATTTAACGAACTAATTTATTCAAATTATTGTAGACAAAAATGCAACCATGCGCCACAACCACATGTTTTTCGTGTTTGCAAATTCTTGCTGGCAAAATTTTTTCCAGCAAGAATTTGCAACTTCTCTCCAAGAGAACTGTCACTTTGCTCTCACAATTTTTGAGTGTTGGATAATTTTTTGGTCTGCACGAACGCGATTTGGGCAAAAATCGTGATAATTCGTACAAATTCGTACAAATTTTTTGCTCGACGAACAAACCTATTGTAATGAAAGGAAAGAAAAAGCAAGCAACAATCACTGTTAGGTGACCTTAATTTATTAAGCACAGACATTATCTCGCTTTTTGAGTTATGGGACACTCGCATAACAGAATACACGTCATGCAGGAACGTTCAAACCAGCAGTAAATTAACACAACCAAATTTGCTTGCGATGTTTCCGAGTATATTTAGAGACGAAATTGGTCACTTCACGGCACAAAAAGTTCACCTACAACTTAAACCACAAGCAGTTCCTGTGTTCCGTCCCAAAAGACCGATTGCGTACGCAGCTCGCGGCCAAGTTGAAAGAGAACTGAAAAGATTAGAAGATGGGGGTATTATATCTCCAATCAACTTTTCAAAATAGTCAGCACCAATCGTAGTGGTAAAAAAAGCAGCAGGCGATGTGCGCATATGTGGAGATTATTCCACAGGTCTCAACGATCAGCTTGAACCTCACACTTTTCCACTACCACTTCCAGACGAAATATTTGTTAATTTCAACGGCTGCTCATATTTTTCTATAGTGGATGCGTACATGCAGATAGAAGTTGATGAAGATACCAAGAAACTTTTAGTGATCAACACGCATCGAGGGTTATACACATTCAATCGTTTAGCACCAGGAGTTAAATCTGCACCCGGGGCATTTCAACAAGTTATGGAATCACTTCTGTCGGGAATTCGTGGAGTGTTCCCGTACTTAGACGATGTTGTTATAGCCACTAAAAGTAAAGAGCAAAACATTAACGCAGTGATTCAGATATTCGAACGTTTTAAGTTACACAACATCACTGTCAACTTCAACAAGTGCAAGTTTTTTCAGAAGTCCTGTACTTATCTGGGTTATCACATCGATAAAAATGGAATTAGCCCAGATAAGAGCAAAATTAACAAAATTTTGGAACTACCGCCTCCGAAAGATGTAAGCGAGCTTCGAACATTTTTAGGTGCTATAAACTACTACGGTAAGTTTATTAGAGAAATGCGCGCTCTGAGGAATCCTTTGGATGTTTTATTGAAAACGGATTCGAAGTGGGTTTGGTCATCGCAATGTCAGCAACATTTCAACAAATTCAAAGAACTTCTTTCTTCGGATCTGTTGTTAACACATTACGACCCAAGATTGCCAATCAAAGTAGCTGCTGATGGTTCTAACGTGGGTCTAGGCGCATATATTTGTCACATTTATCCTGATGGTAAGGATAACGCAATTGCGCATGCTTCAAGATCGCTTACTCAAGCTGAGAAAAATTACTCGCAGATTGAGAAGGAAGGTTTAGCGTTAGTATTTGCAGTGGTAAAGTTCCATAAGTATTTGTACGGTAGGAAGTTTTACTTGCATACCGACCATAAACCATTGCTGGCAATTTTCGGTAATAAGAAGGGGATTCCTGCACACTCTGCAAACCGCCTTCAGCGATGGGCTTTAACCTTGATGTCTTACGATTTTATGTTAGAGTATATACCTACGAGGGAATTCGGGGCTGCAGATATACTATCGCGTCTCACCAGAAACACAACAAGGCCTAACGAAGATACGATCATCGCTTGCTGTCAACTAGAGCGTGAAGTGAAACAAAGTGCAGTCGAAGCCTTAGAGAATTTACCAGTAACGTTCCAGATGATCCAAAATGCAACGTTGAAGGACAAAGTTTTACAAGAAGTCATCTCATACTTGAAGAATGGTAAGTGGCCGAATACGATAACCGACGATTTACGCAGCTATTATATACATAGAGACGCTTTGGGTATAGTCGAAAATTGCATTATGCTCAAAGATCGATTGGTTATACCTTACTGTTTCCACAAACGTATCTTACAACAATTGCATAAAGGTCATCAAGGAATCGAGCGAACAAAATCACTATCTCGGAGTTACGTATACTGGCCGGGACTGGATGAAGAGATTAAGCGATTTGTTCAAGGATGTGGGAAATGCGCTGCTGTTGCAAAGACGTTGCCGAAAACGACTCTTTCTTCATGGCCTATAGCAGAACATCCAATGCAACGCGTTCATATCGACATTGCTGGTCCGGTAAATGGCATTTACTACTTTTTAATCATCGACGCATATTCAAAGTGGCCGCAAATATACCAAGTTAATTCAATAACTTCTGCAAGCATTTTAAATTGTATTGCTGATTTCACGTCACAATTTGGGAACCCAGAGCTAATAGTTAGCGATAATGGAACCCAATTTTCGAGTAAAACTTACTCAGATTTCTGCAAAAGCCAAGGTATTATTCATAAATTCACTGCTCCGTATCACCCACAGTCGAACGGGCAAGCAGAACGTTTCGTAGATACTTTGAAAAGAGCTTTGAAGAAATTAGAGGGCGCAGGAACGACGAAACAAATCTTGCAAACATTTTTAAAAACCAATCGAGTTACGCCAAATCGAAGTGCACAAGGCAAATCGCCAGCTGATTTGTTCGTGGGGAGAAGGCTAAGGACGGAGTTGGACCTCCTTAAGATTTCTAAGCCACATAGCAATCAACGTAACGAGCGTATGGAACAACAATTTAATAGACAAAATCATGCCCAGGAACGAAGTTATAAAATCGGTGATCCTGTATACGCGAAACTGTATAAGCTGAATGAATCCTTTTGGGCACCTGGAATAATAACAAAGATTCTTGGCAAAGTAAATTGCGAAGTAAGAATTGAAAACTCCAACATTTTTAAGGCAGTGAAATCACACGCGAACCAACTACGTTCAAGATTCGTCGAAGCTCCACAGAAGGCGTTGGATATTTCATTCGATTATTTCGATCTGTCACCGTCATCAGTCTCTGACGCTAGCAACTCACGCGCTTGTATTGCAGAGCCAGATCTCGCTACTTCACAGGAATCGGCTTCAAGTGATACGAGTCAGCAGACTACACCATGCACGAATATGGCAGATCCTCCGAACCAATTACTACCAGAGGCTAGTACCGATGCTCCGAATGACAACCGCGAACCGGTAACAGAGCAAACCGAGGTTCATCCAGAGCTAAGACGTTCATCTAGGCGTAAAAGACCTCCTGCATGGATTCCAGATTACCATCTTTTTAAAAGAAGGAAGGATGTTGGCAACCCACAAGTGTAGACTTTAATTTTGATATGTCATTGTAGAACTAGGATCCGTTATTGTATCCCGTCTGCATATTATTTTATTTCTTTTTCTTTTCCGTCTGCCGATACCTAAGCACGTTGTAACGTAATACGCGGTAAGCCATATAATATCCAAGTTTGTATTTAAGATCTTATAATTTGTATTGTATTATTCTCGTATGTATATTTTGTAAATAAAGAGGGCTACCCCCTCAGGGCTACCCCCTCAACCATAACATCACGCCTTCTTAGTACCCCGTTATAATCGCATTTAGGAAAAAAGTTGTGCGACTTTGACATTAGCCGTTTGTTTACATTTGTTCGTTGTTTACAATTCGGTGGTGGCTTTTTACTGCAATTTTCTTAATTTTCGCTTGTGACAACGTGTGCACACATAAGGTAAAGAATAATTTAACACAGCGACATGATGTATAGAAGAATTTGCATAATAAAAATGATTATTCTTGCGTTCAACAATTACGCGTTTTTTTTTGTTCTCTTCGTTGTTTACTTCTTACAACAAAGATGGCGTCGAGATTTCAACAGCTAAAAAATAACTTTTTTCTTTCTTTCAGGAAGGCGTGATCTTGTGTCTTTCGTTCATGTTGTTATTACTTAGCAAGTGGCACAACCGGAAGTTCCAATTTACGATATGAATGAAAAAAAAACGAAACATATGTGAAGATAATTTTAATAAGATGATAATAATAATTTTGTAAGACAATTTAAAATTTTTTTTTATACATATTAGTTATAGTGCACTAGCATGTAATATTTATAAATACTTATTAATTAGAACTTTAGTTCGAGTATATTTATAATGGTAGTTAAGTGAAACATAATATGTGTAAAATATGAGAAAATGAGATAGACTATTATAGTATTTTATATTTGTTTTTTACTAAATTTAAATTGGAAATGTAGAAAATAATATTACTTTAATCCTCTACTTCCGAAAGGGGTTTAGTAAACAAATTTCAAGGTTTTAACGGTGAAGCAGAAATGGTAATTATGCTACGAGCGCCACTACACTGCCTTGTGGTGGTGTTTGGCGGCATCGCGGGGGAAAGATGCGACTGGGCATCACAGCAGGAGCCCACATAGTCACTCGTCCATTCTCGCGTGTTGCCGACCTAAACGGGGTTAGATCGCCGAAACAACAGCCCTTGGTCGGGTAAAACCCGAGTCATACCGGTCCGTAGAGCCGGCTGTCGTGGGAATGTGTCGCTGACTCCGTCGTAGTCCGAATTTTCGTAAAATCTACGAAAATGCTATCACTGAATCATACACTTTGAATGCATACGTTCGTACCGTACATGGCAGGCACGTAAGTAAAATAAAAAGTATTTGTTTACTAACATAAATGTTTGCTACAAGTATTTCCTTTATTGTTTTCTATTATTAATTTATACAGAATGTTTAATTTAACTCTTGGCGCAGCAAATATTCGCCGTATTTCCGAAGTTGCGTTCAATATATGTATGTTTGCAATTCAACTTAATAAAAAGAATGTATGCCGAATTACGCATTAGTACTGTTGTAATGGAGAACACTGTCGCTATGCAAAAACTTAAATAACGATAACCAATTCGGGTATGGGAATAGATTTCTAAATGTAAATGTAAATATTTTCTTGTGGTATAGTTAAAATAAAGTTGGCGGCGATTGACTTAGTCATCGCTCAAAAAGTCCTCATCTAAATTAACATCGGTTGTATCAATAAAATCATCCAACGTCACACCATCAATTTCAAGTTCCAACTCGTCGTCATCACCATCGTCTCCCAGTCCATCTGATGTTTTACATAATACGGTTGTGGCAGCAGTGGTATTGGCAACGGCATTGACTGGTGCTTCACCCACATAGTCATCATTTTTCTTATATGATTGCGCAGCTGGCTTACTGTTACTCTCAAAAATTCCTCGTTGTTCTGCTAAGTGCATTTCCTCTATCGGATTGCGCTCAATATTGAGTGGTATTTGAGCGGCAGCAGAAGCTGGTAACTTCTTTTCTTGAGTTTGTTGCAAAAATTCTTCTACGCGTAGCGCCTCTCCTAGACCAGGGAAAAGATTTTCATATTTGGCTGGATCGGCAAGGGATTGACCAGCCTTTTCATTAAACTTAGCCAACTCTTCACGCCAAAGTTCAACTATGCGAGACATTTGGCTGGGAATGTATGTGCGTGCAAAAAATGCAGCTTCGGGTAAACGATTCGTCTCAATTAATATATCCAGACAACGTTGCACATTAGCTCGTACGAAAGACGAGAGGAATGCTATATTGTGACGTCCTTGTTTGGAGCTGCTTTCAGCTACGTCTTCCAACATTTTCTCATCTCCTGAGGATGTCGCCAATAGCAAAAGACCACTGAAATCATTTGCTTTTTGCATGCATTCTTTTACAAGTTGCATATTGTTTTTTCGTGAAGCGACGTCAGCTAATTGTGACCACTTTTGGGGATTTTCTGCTTCGCGTGCCAGTTTCAATGCCACATCCAATTCACCGATTTGTAAGGCTAAGTCGAATTTATGATCGGAGTCAGTGGAAACTTGCAATGCCTGCTGTTTAAAGCCCTGCTTCTCCAGGAAATGAGCGACTCGTGTACGATGCTCTTTGGGGACGGTGGGTAACACTAGATCTGCTCTTTCGAAATCGCGACGCATAACCGCTGTTTGGTATTCGAGTACAGACAACAGAAGCGAAAATGAGATGACGTTCAGCTCCTTATCACCCAAATACAGGCGGTTGTCCTTCGGTACATAGCCCAGCAAATACATTGTACGATCCAGATGAGATATCGTAACAATTTCGCCACCAACACAATAGTTAATACGATTAACAGAGTTTGTGTAGATAAAGCAGTCCCCAACCCAAATTCCGGTCTTTACTACCTCGTTGACTTCGCCTGCATCGATAAAACGAAATTTTAACAAACATTCAATGGAAAACTATATTTATATATTTTTGCATACCCAAAACCTCGAAGGCACTTTCAATACCATCGTCTTCGAGCCCTTGCTTGTTTTCCAATGCAGTTGCAATTGCAGCAGTATCTACTGAGAGAATAAAGTAAGATTCATCGGTAGCAAGACATACTAATGTGCCCGCTTCGTTCCAGAAGACATGCCGTGGTTGCACTTCGACTCGGCGCACTAACTGTAGAGTCTCCCAGTCGTAGAATGCCAATCCAGACGATGTTTTTACACCAAACAAGTACCCTCCGTAAATACTTTCTGCTCCATACTCAGGGGTGAAACTTTTCCGCTCTTTAAAATTGCGGAAAAGGCGAACTGTTCCATTATTCTCTCGTATGGCATATTCATTACTCTCCAACGCCCACACGAATTCTTGAGCAGATCCATATGCTTTGTTACGCAAAGCCATAGATGTGTATATTATGTATTCGCCATCGCCACATACCACAACAAAGCGACCATTGGGATTATGTGCTATAGTTTGGGGATAAATCTCACAAGCGCCCATATCTTTAACGGCAACTGGCAATCGTTCGCCATCTTTTATTTCGGTTCCATCGGCCATTGCTTTTAAATTTACCTGAAAAATTGTTTAGTTATTAAATATAATTCCTATTTCATACCAAGCAATCATTACCTGCTGCATTTCAGAGTGTTTAGCCCAAATAATTTTAGAGCCAATAACATCCATTGACATTGCGGGTTCTTCTCGACCCACTTTTATTATAATTGATCCTTCATCATAACCAAGAGCAACGTTATTACTGCCACGCATACACGCAATTGTCCAAACTCGCTCAAACCCATAGTTGAGGCAAGTTTCTAAGCGGTAAGTGCCTGAATGCCAGATTCGAACGGTGCCATCTTCGGACCCAGTTAAAACTATAGGCAACTCGGGATGAAAACAAACTGCAGATATATTTTGTGCATGCCCTTCCAATGTTTGTACGCAGGTTTTGTTTTGATAGTCCCAAATCTTTACCAATCGGTCATCTGCGCCAGAAATCAAGTAGGGTTTATCACCTCCATGATAATAATCAATGCAATTGATTCCTTTCTCATGTCCCTCAAGTGTGAAGTTTGCGAATGTTGAACCAAGTTGCCAAACCTTCACTGTTCGGTCAAGTGAGGCAGAAGCAAATGTGTTGTTGTCCTTCGGATTGAAAACAATCTGCATAACATAATGCGTATGGCCTTCGAACACGCGTTGACATGCCCACAATTTTTCCCAGTTCCATAACTTTATCAGCATATCATCTACATTATAGTAATATTTATATATCTACGAAACCACAATAGTAATTTAGCTTAACTTACCACTACTAGTAAGTATTAATGGCTGCGTCGGGTGTACGGCTATACATCGTAGATAATCCGAGTGAGCCTCGAACGAGTGTATCTTTTCTAGGGTATTATAGTTGAATACACGTATCTGCATATCATCGGAACCAGTAATGAGCCAATTTTTCCGAGCCACAAAACGTCCACAACGCACCGGCACATCACACACTTCGAAATCTTTAACCAATTGTTGGTTTTCATAGTTCATAATGTGTACGTGGCCATTGTAAAGTGCACACAACATCCACGGCTCTGTCGGATGTAGATCTACACATTTCACTCGATCCGAACGCGAGGTTAAGCGGCGTTTTATATCCAACTTAAGAGGCATTGTGTTGACTAAATATTTACTGTTCACGTTTTACAAAGCGTTATTGAAATTTGCACTAACTATTTAAACAAATACCACCGTAGAAAATTTTCCTTCCCAGTGGCTCATATGAGAAAATTGTATGACGTTTTCGTTGTAAAAAAAATGTCAAATTAGAACCGAATTGCCAACAGTGAATAAATAAATGATGCAGGGCGCAGGAGATGAATCGGTTTCTACTATTGGATCAGTGTTGCCGTTGAAATCCATTTACTTCAAAAGTGATACGTGTTTGTGCAAATTTTAGGAAGATACTGTTACGATTATCCTCGAAGCCTTGAGGGATTTCCCAAATATACTCGGGCTCGTATCGCTGGATTGTTAAATAAATGCTCACGAAGACCAAATTGTAGTACAATTAACTTTATTGTACAACAAACAATTTACAATACTCGCTAATACAGTAAAAACACTCTACAATACTTGTTAAAGCAATAACAACGCTTAACTAAACTTGTTAACACAATTAAACTTATAGCTTGCTTATTCGCAACTCACTTCTCTGCTCACTTTACTTGTAGTTTGCTGTCTTGTAACTAACTCAACTCCGCTGTGTCGTGGCTCTTATACATGAACCAATTAGAACAGACTTGGCCGGTTGAGAAGCAGCCATTTGTAATAGCAATTGAGAAATTTTCAAGTTTGCTATTTCTGTTTTGCTTCTTTCTTTATGTGTATTTTGTCGGTGGTTTATTTCAGTGATTTTTAAATGATTTTTTGTGCAAATGTAATTAAAATGAAGTGCGCGGTGATTGAATGCAAAAAACACGTACATAAATAATAAAACGGTTAGCAAAAACATGTGCACAACATTGCATGCATTTTTTCTTTATGCTTCGTCTTCATATTCTTTGTTTACTTTTCACAGAAAATAACATGGCGCCGAAATTACAAACGTCAGCCAGAAAATTACTTTTTTCTTTGCTCCATCTTGTCAGATCTTGTGTAGTTGGATCATGGCTCTTATATACCTGCGCTCGCACTTATGGCAACTCTAGAACGTACTGAAGTTTATCGCTCATTCTCTTTCTCCCGCTGTTCGCAGTGTTCATCCAACTTGACGTTTCTCTTTGTGGAACACTCTACTTCATTCCTCGAACATTCTGCTTATTTCTCGTAGTTCGCTTCGCGTTGCCGCAGTATTCACCACACTGCCCTTCACCACAGTCTGATCGTCCCGATCAGACACACTTGCTGTTCCAAACGTTGCAAGTCTTTCATCTTGGTTCTCGGTCTACCAGCTGTCTGGATTGGATGCACTGTTCGCTTTTGTTCGGGCATGTCCTATGAAGAGACTAATTGTTCACCTTTTTACCCGAATGGGTATAAAAAGCGACAAGTCACTTTTAAAAAATAAAAATAAAAATTTACGTCAGCTGAGATTCGAACTGGGGTGCTCAGTTTTGTTAGGCGGATACTCTCACTGTGTGCCAACGCCGCACATGAAATTTCATTGACTAAGAGCGTACATATCATTAAATCGTTAATAGTACCCGTTAGAGATGATCTCCAATTATACCCACAATTGACTAATTGATCTCCAATTATACCCACAAGGGATGAGTCGAGACTAATTGACCTCCATTAGTACCCGTATGAGACTAATTGGGACTAATTAATGCCCAATTGTATCTGATTGAGAGTAATCCCGGATTACTCTCTTTAGAGATTAGTCGCACAATTTTTTGCAGGGTGGCTGCACCGTGTGATTTCCCAAATATATTCCGGCTCGTATCGCTGGATTGTTAAATAAATGCTCACGATGACCAAATTGTAGTACAATTAACTTTATTGTACAACAAACAAGTTACTATACTCGCTAATACAGTAAACACACTCTACAATACTTGTTAAAGCAATAACAACGCTTAACTAAACTTGTTAACACAATTAAACTTATAGCTTGCTTATTCGCAACTCACTTCTCTTTGTAGCTTGCTGTCTTGTAACTAACTCAACTCCGCTGTGTCGCGGCTCTTATATACCTGCGCTCGCACTTATGGCAACTCTAGAACGTTCTGAAGTTTATCGCTCATTCTCGTTCTGAAGTTTATCGCTCATTCT